GAACAGCCTTAGTCCGTAAAGTTCCCACCTATCGGGCTGCGATTGGCTCATGTATTTAATCATTCCTACAACGTAATTTCCGGTTAGCGTGGAACGTATCTAAGCGTTATAGGGGGGTCTACTGTATCTGATAATATTTCTTCAATAAAATCAATCTTAAAACTTTATGGATATTTTATATATATAAAAAGAATTACAAATGTTGAAATATAAAATGAACAAACTTTATAATAATTTTTAGACTCACAATTCTGTATTTCTAAGTTAATTCATAAATTGCAGTGTCACGTGATTGAATATTTGTATTCATATTCATTAATCTAGGACCCACATCTCAGTAATAAATTAATTTAATAACAGAAAAATAGTTTAATGAAGGATTCAAATTTGTAACTCTCATTTAATGTATGATAAATCTATTAATTATATTGCACTCCAATCAAATACTTTTAATATTTTTGTTTTAAATCATCATACTTCAGGAAAAGTCCTAATTAAAAATTTTAGAAGACCAAATTCTTAATAGTTTGTTAATAAAATGTTTTTTATTTAGGATTCATAAATTTTCTGATAAATTCTATACATATATACACAATATAGTTACAAAATGCTATTCACATTTCTTGCCAAAAAACTCAATTATATTTGTTCATCTTTCTTATTTTTTAAGTAACTTAAATGCTACTGATTCTATTTCAAGCAATATTTTTGTGTATCTTTTCAGAAACATAATGGCAGCTCTTCCTCCATACTGATTTCTTCAACTTGACATAATGTGGATGCCAAAATAGAGATTGCTCAATTGATAATGATGTTGTTCAACCTCTAATGGCATTTGTCTCAAGTGACTGAATAGTGAGCCACCAAATAAAACCACTAAATACTTGTAGTTAGTTGCAGGTTTACACCTTGCCAATAGAACCACTGACCACATGAAATGTTCCAATTTTCCTTACTTAAATAGAAGCCAGTTTTCCATAGAAAGTCCTCCTGAGAGGCACCTCTCTTGGCAGATCACCCAATGTTGCATTGCCTTATTTCATCCAACCATCCAAATGATTGAATGCAAGAATGGGGATACAAAGTGTTTCAGTGAAATGTGAAGTTAGCCAAAAAAGTCATGTAATAAATCTTCTCTCAGATTTCATTGATTATGATAATTAGAACAATTTTCCATTAAATTAGCAGGAAGTATGGTAAAGAAAATGAAAACTGCATATAAATAAATGGAAAATGATTGGAACCCACAGAAAAGTTAGTTAATTGAGTTGATTTGTTACACTAGTTGTTTGTTATTAGGACTTGTCCTATATTTATGTTATATATCCTACAGATATGTCACAAATATCCCCAGATATATATTATATTTTTGATACAATATAAATCACATCAAAATTAATGTACGTCTGGAAGAAATTCATTAAAATGTCCAAATAAAATAACTAGTAATGTTTTCACATGTTAAGTGAGAGCTTTAAGTTCAAAACCTAATCAGGATATTTTTATACACTTTTAATATTTAGATAATTCAATTTATATTATATTTAAAATTTCTATAAGATGACAAACTATGTGCTACTAACAATAAAATTCTTTCAATCAGTTTATTAATTCAATCATTTCTAAATTTAATTAACATAATCTATCCAGATTATTTAGCAAAATCCCATTTACAATTGGATAAGCTAAATTTTGGACATCAATAAGTTATATTAACAAAATTTGGGAAAATTTTTAATGCTTCTTCAATGGCTTTAGAGCAGTGGTTCTCAACCTTTTTTTACCCATGAACCCCTTTTTCTCTTTTTTATGGACCCCCCATAGTCATTGCACAGAAAAAAAACCTTATATTTTTCACTAATAAAAAAAAGAAAGGAAAACATTCAGAAATGTCACTGTCAAGTGACATGATGCTGATGGTATAAGATTCTCCTAAAAAACCCTGGCTTTATAATCTCGGTTTAACCTTTGTCAATGAGATATATGTCGTATACATCTTATAATATAATCGAGATGGGCTGATGATGATAATAATAATAAGTGCAGAGCCCAAACAGTTAGGAGTTAGGGTACATCATGAGAATGTACACAAAGAAGGGATTTTTCGAAATTTCCTCTGCGGGGAGAGGGACAGGATTAAGGCTTACTGTGAAGAACTTGGCTTCTACTGTACTATTTTAGATGCAGTTTTTTATGTTTTTGATTGCATTTTAATAGGGTATGCCATGAGAATGCACATTAAGAAGGAATTTTTCAAAATTTCCACTGCAGGGGAGAGGGAGAAGGTTAAAGATTACCCCGAATAACTTAGCTTCTACTGTACTATTTTAGATGCCTTTCTTGCATTTATGTAAGAAATCAAACATATTTTTAGACCTTTCTAAAAATTCTTAATGATATTTAGTGCTCCATCATATATAAAGTTGACACGGGGAGTGCATGCACATAAGTTCACTTTATTTGAACTATGTCTTAATGTTTGTTGATTTTATGTTCAAATTTATATTTATGAATAATTCTGGAAGGTCCAGCTTATTTTTCAAATTTAGTAAACCTGTAGAAGAACCCAGAAAGAGTTACGAAAACGTTATTCATCACTTAATGGTACTATGCACTGGTTAGTGGTTGCAGTGAGTCTTAATTATTGTTATCCTAGTGTGGTAAGCAGATATCTAAAAATTTTCTACTTAGTCTCAGAAGAGGGGGGACCTAATTTTTGCACTCAGTAAAAATGGGTAAGATCGGCTATAATCTAATAATCTTAATCTTTGATATTTGTTACATTTTGTCCAAGCAATGCCAGGCTCATATGCTAGTATTCAATATTTTAAATAATTTATATTTTAACCCTTATGCAAGAAATGAGTAACAAAGAAATTGACAATGTATATACTGTAGAAATTTAATTCTCAGTAAAACAATTGTTCTGAAATAGAATTACCCTGCAGACCAGTAAAATAGCACCGTGAACCCCCAGTAATGTTACATGGACCCGGTTGAGAACCAATGCTTTAGAGAAATAATCACAAAAATATATTATAATTCATAAAATTTTTAGTATGATCTCCGTTTAGAATAAGACATAAACAGCGTGACGATTCGCACAATATGTATGACGTTTTTCTTTTTTTACACTTTACTAATAATTCATAAAATTTTTAGTAGATGTTACCTTATATTTTTTATTGGTCATTTATGGTGTGGATCCTTTTAAGTCGTTCACGCTATGTTTGCCTTTTTTTTTTTTTTTTTTTTTAACTACAGNTATATTTTTTATAATTGTGTTGTTGCCAGAGAGAACTTTTTAACATTTTGCATATTTAGGCAGAGGAGAGCTGCAAGATAATAGTCAACTCCACCATATGACACATGTTCCTAAGGTGTAAAAAAAGGACAAACTGTGAAGAAACTTTCAATTTATTTTACTGTTTCTTCTAGTTTCTTGTGAATTTTTTAAAAGTAAATTACAATAGTTAATAAAAGTAATATTGAATGATATGAAATTAATAATAATAATAAATAAATAATAAAATGATCTAGACTAGTGTTGGAAAAATTGGAAGTTCTTGAAACTGATTAATTGGTTTTCAAACAAAACTTAAATATCAGATGCCAAACTAGTTTTCAGATCAATTTCAAAACCACTTTGAATTTAGTAGAATTACTGTTTTATTATTGTATTTTATTAATATTAATAAGTATTACAGTAAATATTTCTTAGACAAGATTCATGAATATTTGTGAATCATGTCTAAGAATATTTCAGAACCTGTATCATGTTTTTCCTGTGAAAAATATGTCATTGTTTCTTAGACTCAGCTTTTATAAACATTAAGTATTTAACAAATAGTATTTGAAAACAATCATTTTAAGATTTTTTGACTCCCTGTCCTGTGGACACTAGGATTGCTTTTTTTCACACCCATTGTGAGTTTGGCCACACTCACAATAGGACAGCCAGGTGATGAGAGATGGGGCTTGACATATCTGAGCTCCCTGAAAGGTTTTAAGTTTAATTCTCATTAGTTTTCAGATTAATTTTAATTTTCAAATTAAATTTAGAGTGATGTACAGTGTCATTTTAAAAAAGTCAAGGATAGTAAATTGGTGCAGTGTACAAATTGTAATATTACACTGAAATTTTTTGGTAGTACATTAGTTATGTGGTACAATCTTAAATCCAAGCATACATTACAGCCAATTATAAAATCAAAAAGAAAAAGTCAAAAAGAAAAGTAAACAAGATATCATAATAATAATGCTGCTTTCATTGCCTGTTTAAAATCAATTTGATAACTAATTTTCAATTTTTGCTAAAACTGCAATTTAACAAAAACCAGTTAATTGGCTTTACTGAAAACAGTTTTGTTGCCAGCATTAATCTATACATATTCTTCAATATCTTAGTTTCATAAAATAGTAAAAAATAATAAAATCATTAATAATATTCCTGGTAAAGCAGCAAACAAAGCTTTGAAAACATTTATCAACAAACAACAACTTACCTGTTCAAAGTGTGTTGATGATTTTATTATTTTGATAAAAAAATGATCTTACTTTTTTAAGGAAAAATTCTATATTAAAAATATTAATTTCCTAATTAAATTTACAACTGATGAGTGCAAAAAGCCTTTTCAAACTTAAATTTGTTTAAAGAATTGGAATGTAATGCTAAAACTTCAAAATATTTTTGATGATAAATATTTAAATTATCAGCAAAAATTCAAATTTTAGTACTCTTGAGAGTTATTTTTATCAGTAATTATAGCTGTCTTAATCAAAATCTCAAAATCTTTTCATTTGAACCATTCAGCTAAAAAGTTTCATTTATATTTAATTTGTTTGAAAATATAAAATAATTTAACAATTTTAGCTTACTGCTATATTTTATTTTAAATTCAGTCTAATTTTGTGAATTAACTATTATTAATTTTTAAATATTAAACTATATATATATATTTAGAAATATATATAAAATATAACACTATTTCTGAAGTTACCTGAGCTGTTGATAATTTATCACACATATCACATATACTCTGTACATCTGCTTCTGTTTTTCTAGCTTGTAATAATTGAGATGCTTGAATAACAGGAAGTAATGTCTCAATTACTTCATTATATTGAATTTTTTGATCTCTAGACCATTGCTCCAAATGACTCAAGTTATACCTTTCATAAAACAGAAAATATTAATTAAAACATTTTATAAAAAACTTATTAAATGCTAAAAATAAAAAATAAAAATATTAATCATTTAAATAAATGCATTAATTTAATCAAATATTAATAATGAAAACAATGAGATATACAGTGGATGATCGGTTAACGAACAGATCAGATAACGAACACCGCACAGAACAAACACAAGAAGAAGCGACGTAAAATAATGAATACCGATTGGTCTTCTCTTGTTTTCGGGCAACAATTCGAAACTTTTCGGAGTGTGGGAGACGTTGACATCGACGTTCAAGCCGGTATATACTGATCGGATAGTATTCCTCCGAACTTTGAAACTCTCCCTTGTAATTCCAGCCTTTTATTTTTCTGACAAAACAATTCTTTTATGTATTCGCGAGACTGTTGGGTAGGCACAAGTTAAGTTTTGCATCTGTTTTTTTTTTCTTTTCAAAAGGTGAGAGTATAATAGCAAAGGTAGAAAGTGGGTAGAAGATGCCTAATGTTGCTGGGCAGTATGGCGTGAACAGGTCTACAGTAGGCCGTAGTTCAATCTTATTTAAGAAAAATACTGTATAATCAAGAAGACTCAAGCAGCTAAAGGAGTAACAAAAGTCACATCTGAAAAATAAAGAACATCGAAGAGTTCATAATGGAACCTGAAATGGATCTGACGACAAAAGTACGTCAAAAACTCTTGAATGAAGAACACCAGGAAACTCGGCGAGATATGTTTTCTTCTGAAAAAGAGGATTAATGCCGATATTTGCTATTAAAGATCTTAAGAAGTGGGAAGATGTCAGAACAACAATCTTAGAATGGCATCCAAACCAGGTTGAGGCTTGGGGATTTCTACAATTGCAATGCTATTAATTACTTACGAAAAATCCTGAAGAAGAGAGAAAAGCAATCGACATTAGACAGATTCTTTAACCCTTTCAAACGGAAAAAACATGACTAATAAAAACGCAAGACTGTGCATGTATGTATTTTTATTATTACATATAAATAAACGTAGTAAGAAAGTATATATTTTTTTATTTTTGGTGGTCTCCAGAACGAATTAATTAAATTTCCATTAAAACCTATGATAAATCGATAATCGGTTAATGAACAATTCGGATAGCGAACAAAGTCTTGGAACAGATTATGTTCGTTGACCGATCACCCACTGTATAGCTGTATTAGTTTAAATGGTCTAGTAAACACTAAATTAGTTTGCTATATTATTATCAAATATAATAACATTAATAAATACTGCATTTTCAATATATTTGATATAGAAAAACTAAAAATAATTTCACATAAAACATTAATTTTCTATCATTAATTGTTAATATTTCTTATTTTGATTCTATTATATATTTCAGAATTTGTAAAATCATACTTTAGCAATTTTTATTTCTATTAATTATTATTTAGACATGAAAATACAGTAAAACCTTACTTTATGGCTATGTCAGTTACGTGGCAACCTCTAAAATTTCCCTGTAAAACTGAATAAGTTTCAATATAAATCAAACTCCACATTAGTGGCCACCTCACCTAAGGGACCATTTTGCTTAAGTGGCCAAGATAGACATGTCCAAAAGTGTCATTTATTCCCATTTACATGGCCAACAGAACAAGAAAATCCTGTGCTCCTAAACCCAATGTATTGTTTAAAATGCCTTAAACAAATTGAGCTTTGTTACTATAATTTTAGAACATTTTGCTGAGATCCCTTTGACAGATGATGTTTAAACAAAATACATCTGCACTTACACTCAACAACTTATTTCTTTAGTAAGAAAAAAGATAATTATATATTTGTTCAATATTTTTATACAAAATTCTATTGTATTTCATAAAAATATAACTATGTAAATCAATGATAATTTGTCTACACCACTGAAACATCATTTGGTGACCACACAGTAGTAGAATACTTCTAGCCCTTTCATGACATGTTTAATTAAGGATATTGAAATAGCTACAAGTAAAAGAATTTTATACAAGAGAAATCCCACAGTCTACACAATTCTGTGGAATGACAAGGACCCATCTTATGTGATGGGCATTCCAGGAGTGTACACCATTCCTATTTTAGATGATGGCGTGGCATGTGACTTTATATATATAAAGGAAAGCTATCTTAAGATTTCTTAATGTATGCTTGAAAGAACATAAGTACAATGTACAAAAGTCATTCCCTCTCACAGCCCTGGCAGTCTACACTTTAGCACAGTGGTTCTCAACCGGGGGTACATGTACCCCTAGGGGTACGAGCGTAAATCGAAGGGGTACATCTAACTTTCATTATAAAATGGCGTATGTTAATCTATTTGCTGTAAATTATTAACACAAGAAACAACAAAAACTTGCTTTAAAATATTCCAGTGTGAACNTACTGATGTCTATCATCAATATTTTAAGAATAATATTAAATTATATTTTGTTTACATCAGGTCCTCTCCAGTAGCTCCAGTTGAATTTAAATTTGATGAATATCTTCTAGATGATTATACAGGAAAATTAAAACCAAATCAATTGATAATTGATGATTATACATATGATAATTTAAAAGAAAGGTGAGTTGATAAACTTTTATAATGTTAGTTATATAAAAAAATACTTTATTGAAATAAGATAATTGAATATTTCCCAAATGATTAAAAATGATATTGGAAATAGATCTTTAGTAGTAAAAAATTAATTAAAAGTCAGTTAGTTAGTTTTTTTTATGGCGCTCAGTTATAAGGGTTGTATACATCTAACGCAGTAATTATAAAATTTACATAAAAAAATATAAGGGGTACTTGAGAAACAACTAATGGGCTAATGGGGTACATCAACAAAAAAGGTTGAGAACCACTGCTTTAGCAGATTCAGTTAATGTACAATGGAAACAAGCTAAACTCATCAAGGGGGCCAGAAATAGGCACTATATCTAACATGTTGAAGCACTGCAGATTTACAAGTATGTGCGTGAGGGGTATTCTGTTATTTACAAGGATCAAAACATGCTATCTTCAGTATGGAGAGCTTGGTACAAGATAGATACTGTATAACCTGGATGGCTGTTTTTTTAATCATGTATCTCCTAAATTAAAGTCACTTGCATTTGTTCTTTTATGTTATTTTTATTCCCTTTTTAATCTTTCTTGTGCCCTTACAGCTAACATCTTTTATATGCAGAAATCACTCTGGAAAAGTTTTTAAAAAATTTACCAACCATTTTGTCAATTTTTAATTTTTTCTCACCACTTCAAATTATTTATTATCACCAGTTTTATTTACTAATTAATACAGGTGCTGGTAGCCTTATCAGTTTGGTGTATAAAAAGCAAAAGTAACATGTTAAGCCATCACTTAAAAGTTAGCAACAGGAATCATTTTTGAATAATTTTTTAATGAATAATTCTCGATAACACATTTTATCACAATGTTTAAACAGTTTCACATGTTCTGTCATGTCAAAGATTTTGTTTTAGTCTACTGGAAAAAGATCAAAGTGAAAATAAAGACACATCAAAAAATTCCTCAATCTGGAAACACAGGGCAGCATTGCATAAGAATTGCCTTTGGTTCTCAACATCACTTCCTACTTTTCTGCCTGAACTTTCTACATGAAGTGATGAAATTGTTAGGCGTTTGGTGCATGGGACTACCATCACAAGGGAGCTAGACATTTTGCTGTTTTCCTGAAATGTGCTTTGTAACTCAATTTCATACTAAATGTCAAAATAAGCAGACTAGGAATTTTATTCCTACTTTAATAAAAATATCATCAAGTGACAATTTTAGCATTATGAAGCATGAATATTGTATATGTATTAATTGTATTTATATCATTTATTTATGTTATTTTATTATTTATCTGTTATTTGTATTTACTTATTTTATTTTTATCTTTTATTTTATTATTTTCTTGTTTCAATTTAAAACTGATTCAATGTTCTTATGTTTTATGTTCTATGTTATTTCTGATACATTTCTAAATCAACTGATTTAAAGTTTATAACCTGAGAATTGTCCTTAAAAATGACCAAAAATTTTAATTATTAAAGTTTTATTGCTGCTGTAAAAAGTTTTGTGAGTGTTAATATCTACTGAAGCAGTTAATTTTGGTTACAGGGTTATTTAAACATTTTTAGAATCTTGCTCTCTCTAATAAATAAATAAATAAAAACCTTAACAATATTATATATCCATAAAATATTTTAATATAAAACCAAAACTATTCATTTAAATTTATATAATGATAAATTATTTATATGTAGTCAAGTGAATTAGATAATACACAGGCCAGATAATTGAAGGCTGGATGATCATAAGTCTATTGTATTTGGTTATATGAAAAATCAATGAAAATTTACCTGATTTGCATGCCTTTGGACCAATGACACATATCTTTTCTCAATAATAAATTGTTCAGTGCTCCAGCACAAATAAAATAAAATAACTGTAACAATATTAAAAAATTTATGTTAATAAATTTTTAATGGGCTTACTGAATTAATTGTTCAATTATAAAAAATCATATTAAAAATTTATTTTAATAAATCTAAACCTGTTTGAAAACTTGAGATGTAAGTTCAGGATCTACACCATGCACACTTAGAATAACAAATACAGAGTTTAGCTGAAATTTAAATGAAAAATAAATTATTACAATATTAATTACTTCATCATCAATTCATTATTTCAAAGAAATTTATTATTTAATTTTTACTTCTTCAAGCAACATAGCCAGTGCTTTCTGAGGCTCTATAAATGATTCTATTTCACGAGCTGCACTACATGATCTTCCTCTCATACCTGATGGTTTACTAGAAATACCTGGTATTGCTTCATGCTCTAAAATAGCAGGCACTAAAAAAAATTATATATAAATTAGAAATGATTCTCATGAAATAAATTTGTTGTATTATGAAAGTAATAAAAGTATCAGTCATTTCAATAAAATATTAAATTATACCAACAAATAAAAATTTCAATATAAATAATAGATATAAAATATTTGTTTAAAAATGATTAAATTCTATAAACTTTTTCTTAAAGATTATAAAAATTAATTGTAAATGTAAAAAAATTAAAAATATTCTTTCAGATTCAAATAAAAAACTTAACTTGCATAATAATAATAAATTCAAATAAAATTTAATAAGAAATTACTTAAGTAAAAAAATTTACTTGAATAAAATTAAAAACAATTAAATAGTTAACTCTACCAATTAGTGGTTGCACTTTTTCCTCCATAATTTTAATGACAGCTTGATATATCCATACTGCTACATCACTCAGTACTTGACGATATTCTGAGAGATCAAAATTTCTAAGGCATTGTTCGTTTTGTTTATTTGTATTATTTGCTTGAAATGCCTATAAAAGTAAAACAAACTGTAATATTTGAATATTTTTAGAAATATTGTATTTTAGTATATATTTTAAAATTTATATTATTAATACATACAAAGTTAAGCCATACATAATCTTTTGATTTATAAAATTTTTAAAGACATTATTTATTAAGTGAAATTTAGAATATGACTGTAAACATAAACTAAGCATAACCATTACAATGCAAGGATCTTCAATTTGGTTTGTTTAATCAAACTTTTATCAAACTAGAAAGACACTTTTCATCATGCATTTCATATGTAGATAAAAATAGCTTTTTCATAACTGCATCAAAACAGAATTATAAATCTAAAATATTAGTCACATAAAATTTTAAGAAAAATATATAATCAATATATATATATATAATTTTACCTTGTCACCACTATATTGCTTTAAACTATGGAGAAGTCGACAAGTATTTCCCAACCATAAAACTGTATATTCAAGATCTTCGTGTTTTTTCTGTAAGAAGTGTATAAAAACAAATTTTCAATTTATTAGATAATACATTTCCTTCAATTTAAAAACAAAGTTTTCTTACCTTAATTAATCGTTTTATTGCAAAAATTGTATTATTTAGCAAGCTAGTCACTTTTTCATCATCATTAATATAGTCTGTGTGGCGGATACACATAAAAAGAATATAAGCTGGTAATCCAGGTAACAAACTAACTGCTAGATTTGGTTTTAAATCTGAAAAAAATGCAATAACTGGATGTTACAATTATAATAATATATATATTTATTCATATAATGCAAAATTAAAAATCTTTTTGATGTTTCATTGTTAAAATTTTAAAATTTTGAGTGTTTAATTTAATTTTTGTAGTGAAATATAACAAGTAGATTTTTGATAACAGGAAGAATCCTATGTTATTTAAACCTTGTATAACTGAACATCTCGTTTTAGTGAACATTTTAAAGGGTGGATAAATCTAAAGACCTTGACCTCTTGTGTAGATCAATATACAAAAAATTCATACTTGATTACATCACCAAAATAGAATGCACTGTTGACTACCTGGAGGCTACACAACAGAGTTGTCTATTTCACAAGGACACCTTTGGCACATACCTTAAAAATGAATGCTGCCTCCATCTTGATGCCTTCTGTTCTGAGAATTTTTGTTTTTGCCAAGGTGCATAAATCTGGATATTAGGATATCAACTATTTCCTGTTGTGGACATATTGGTGTCTCCAACAATACTAATTGAAAAAATCCTTAATCAGTACATTACAAATAACTTGGTTAACTATCACCAAGGTATTAAGAACTCTTGGATCATATACACAACCTTCAGATTGGAGATTACATGTATATCATTGTATGCAATTTTGAAACAATGTGTCTGTCAATTAAAATAAAACCACGCTTCGGTGCATTCTGTAATTTTCTTCTCAATCATGTAGACAAAAAAGGCAACTTCCATGCAGGTATATTAGAGTTGGCCAACTTAATTTGTCACTCCTCCTCCTTCAAATTTGAGGTGACAGCTATCTGCAGCCTAGAGGAGTGCCTGTGGGAAGCCCCCTTTTGGGCACTTTATGGGGCAATCATCAGGTAACTGGAAAATCAGGTCCTTCCATCCTATAAACATGACATTGCCCTATATTCCAGATATACTGACAACCTATTAATTATTTTACTTCATATGCCAAACATTGATGTTTTTCCAAATTCTTTCAACAACAATCCTTTTAGCCTCAACTTATACCTGGAACAGCAATGCACATTTGTTTCTATTTCCTAGATATCAACATATGTATAAAGGATGGCATATTTATACTTTGGTGTACCACAAACCCACTTACATCCCTGCCTCCTCATATGATCTCTTCCAATACAAGGTAACAGTATTTAGAGCCTTGGTGAAAAAAGCATTCATACACTCTTCTATCAGAGAAAGAAGTCAGAAATTGTGATATATAACCCAGTTGGCTATCCAGCACAGGTATATACCTTTTTTGATAAATAAAAAGTTTAACAAACGTGTGGAGCAGCAGATCATAAATTCAGGATTGTGCAGTATAACAAGATCCTGATGGCTATATGTCACAAAGTAGCAGGAGACAACAATCTTTTCCTGGCTTACAGAAGGAACTCCACCAACTATGCTTTTTTTAGAAATACCAAGGACCCTCACAATAAGATATGCCTTCTGGGAGTATACTCCAAACCACTTCAGAACAACAGAGACAACCAACAGTACAGTACATTGGGTTATGATACATCCATTAAAACAATGTTTACAGGAACATCTCAATACAATTAATAAAAGGCAAACTACTACAGCATTAGCTACATATGCCTTGAATAATGATTTGAAGGTGAACATCAACAATGCATAACTTATTTACCATACACAGGAACCTCCACAACTTAAGTATCTGAAAATGTTAGAAATTTACAAGGCCAACAGAAACAACTTGACTATTAACTACAAGGACAATAACACATTATTTCCAGCTAGGAGAGCATTATTTGAAATTTAATATTATTTTTACATCTTGAGGTAACTATGTGACTGCTGACCAGACATTGTTACTTTTATATTTTAAATTAAACCATTCCATCTCTTATTCCATTCTGAATCTGTTCTTTTAACCTGAAGATGGTTGCTCAAGGCAATTAGAAATGTTTGTTTTCCTTCAATATTTTATTCTACAAGCTGGAATTTTGGTTTTGTAAGTGATATTTATAATTTACATCCAGTGTACAGTATGTTTGTTACTTGTTATCTGTACTTATGAATGAATGAAGTGTTATTTACCATATATAAAACAAGTCAAGGAGCTATGACTTGTCAACAAAATGACAATTTCTTGATGATTTACAAGAAGAACCTTCATCATCATCATAGTAGCACTGTAAGCCTTAAAGATTCTATGCTGCAGACACAATATTTCTCCAGCTCTGTCTGCATGATGATTTCCAGTTGAATACTCTTAGTAATTTTAGGTCTTCTGTTTTGTCCAATCATCTTTATTTTTTGTGACTCCTTCAATTGTTTGCATAGACAAATTTTGGTAGCAATCTAGTTTGACTGGCTTTTAAATTCTGTTAGTGCGACACAGACCACCTGCACAGTCCTTTTAAAATGAAGGGAAATGAGTTTCATCAAACATCCTAAAAATGTTGTCAAGTAAATTGAAAATGCTCTATCAAATGATGATATTTTCAACTTCTGGTATTGGTTGGAAATGGGCTATCCAGGCTAAAAATTAAATTTTTAAAATAAAACATGGTCTTTTTTTAATTTAGATTAAACTCAAAAAAATAAGAATTTTGTTTAAAACATTTTTTCTAAAAACCACAAAGTGATTTTGAAAATGGGGAAAAAATTAGACTGAAAATAAGGAAATATGTTGCAAAGTATTTTTATTAACTTACTACCATTGATGTAGGCAAACATAATAAAAATGTTGGCACAATAATCATATGTAATCAATGCTGAACTACTACTACTACTACTACTACTACTAAGTATTTTTGTTTGTGTAAATACTTCTAGAATATCCAATTTGGCACTGATTTTTAACTGTTGTTCAATCAAAATGTTCAAGCTGAGAACTATTTAACTAATGCAAGTTTCTACTCTGCTTGAAAAAGAATTTGTTGCTCATAGAACTTCATAGGACATGGCTACATAGATCAATATGACATCTTTGATAGATAATCAAACTGAACTGAAAATGAAAACTTCTTTGAAATGAAAATGTAAACACAAGTGAATGTTTACTTTTGTTGACACTGAATATTCAGCCAACTAAAAAATATATTGATGAAATGACTTGTAATAAGATTTCACCAAAAAGAATTCACTACATGTTCAAGATCATTTTACAATCAATGGAGATGTTTTCAAAAAATAAAAAAATGTTTGAGAAAATTGTCTTATGTTTTTCAAGTTTAATCCAGATCTAAATTAAAAAATACTGTGTTCCGTTTTAAAAATTTAACTTTCAGCCTGAATAGTCCATTTTCAGCCAATACCAGAAATTAAAAAGATCACCATTTGATATATCATACCAAATTTATTTATCAAAATTTTTAAAGATTTTTGATGAAATTAATTTTCCTTTATTTTAAAATGGATGTATGGATAGTCTGTTTTACCATGTATATGTGACATTGTATAGTTGATGTATTTATTCACATAAATACATATGATGAAAATATGCTATTTTATAAGATTGGAAATATTTCCAAATAAAAAAATTGCTAAAAATTATAACATAACCATGTCAATTACTTTAATATAATTAAATAAAATAATTTTCAGACTTTATTAAAAACATTTAAAACTGCTTCACAAAGAAATGCTAAATTTTATTCTTTGTTAAAAATAAAATTCAACAGAAGTGTTTTTAAAAGAATGCTATGTTCTGGAACATCTAAAGATTATTTTCTTTAATTATATTGTAAAAACTTGATAAAGACAATAATAGATTAAACAAGAAATAAGTAGATAATATCAAATTTAAATGTAAAAATATATTTAAAATTTTAACAAAGTTTATTTATTTAGAGATGTTTCTTCAAGCTTAAATTGCAAATTTTAAATTAATTTTATTTTAAAGATTCTATAGAAGTAACTTAATACATGCTTTTGAAAACAAAACACTTTATAGACATTAATATTCTAATATTAACATACCAGTTATTAAATTTTTTATGATTAAGGCTTCATCTTCTTTTCTATATTCAAACATTCCCATGTATTCTACTTCTTTATGTTTGATTATAGGCATATTGTTAGATTTTTCTTTTAAATTTTAAATTAATTTTATTTTAAAGATTCTATAGAAGTAACTTAATACATGCTTTTGAAAACAAAACACTTTATAGACATTAATATTCTAATATTAACATACCAGTTATTAAATTTTTTATGATTAAGGCTTCATCTTCTTTTCTATATTCAAACATTCCCATGTATTCTACTTCTTTATGTTTGATTATAGGCATATTGTTAGATTTTTCTTTTGTAATATCAAGTGATTTTGTATTTTCTATTCCTCCTAGATAATATAAAATTAAAAAAAATAACAAATCACTAAAATATTATTATTATGAAACTTGGTAACTTGTGTGAGAATGCAGAGGAGGACCATTAATTAATTAATTAAAGTAACATTACAATCTGATTCTAGGGCAAACAAAAGGTCACACACATCCTATTTCATCCGATTTATCAATAGATAAGATCGATCAAATATCTCTCCAGTTTAACAATTATTACTAAGGTTGTAACACACACATTGACCTTAGTCACTACTGGCAATTAATTTAGAATGTTTGACAGATGTTATCAGTTTTATGAGGTAAAAGGAGTAACCATGCTGGATAGAGAGGTAATAAATTTGTCAAAACATTCAATTTCTGATAATTAACATAAACAACACCTGGACACAAATTGAACTTAGATAGGATTGCATCAAAACTTTCCCTAATAGTTCCCCCTCTGGGATGTGTATAAAAAGGGATTGCACCCGCACCTCTGGGCAATCATCAATAAGTCCGCCACGATTGTTGAAAGAGGCGATCATCCACGAGTCCTCAATGAACATCGAAAGAAAGTCTTCCAGCTGGAACTATATTCAAACCTCGCTCCATGCACCTCTCGAGACTTGATTGACGCACCTTCCCCAACAACCTCCACAGTCCACGATTGTCATGACGATGTCGTATAAGGGATATGATGATTTATCAGAGATATTATGGTTTAAATGTAAACTCTCTCTCGTCTCTCTATTCTTTAGGTTAAGTAGAATATAACGTGTATCGCCCGTTTGTCGCAAATAGATCTTTTGTAACCGACAAAGCGATATTGCCATATTTACTTAGAACTTTGTATCCTAGTTTTAAGTTAGATAATTAAATTTATTGTTTTGTTAAACCTGTGGACCTGTCTATAATTCTTTAATGGACACCTTGTCAACTTACTCACGAACCCTCCCCACTACCCTAATTACCCTCCTAAGGCCATCCCGACGAGAAGTTGGTAAGAAGGGTTGCGCTCACAGCTCTATACCCCCTTTGTTCTCACACCCTCTATACCCCCTTTGTTCTCACACTTGGTACAAGTGCCAAGTACCAGTCATCATTCATTTACATTTCTGAAATTAAATTATTGGAATAACCATCTTAATTCATTTTTTTTTTAAAGGAAATATAATAAAAAAATTTTTTTATACTTATCATTATTTGTGAACATCAACAAATATTTAAATAAAAATTATAAATATAAGCAATTTTTCAAGATTTGCATTATGATATTTGTTTATCTCTATGACAGACTTTGCTTAGCAATGTTAGGCATATGTTGTGGCAAATCATTTATCATCATAGTGTAAACAAACCTTAAAAGATTATAATGTTTATAAAGATCATTAAAGAATTTAATGTTTATGTTATTTAAAGGTGGTTGCACAAGTTACTGCTTAAACTACAAAATAACTATTTAGAATAAACTTAACCTTGTCACTAACTACAGAATAAATTTTAAAATTTCGCTGGATGAAATAAATTTAAAATAAAAAGACAGTCGCTTCCATAAAAGGAGAAGGATGAATAGCTCAAGATGTTGTAAGGTCACCAATTCCAATTAAAAAAAATTTTCTTATTTTTAATTGGATTATTTCTGGGTTTTAATGAACTGTTTCCTGAGCGGCCATGTAGCCTAAAAAGAAAGGTCGGGTTGTCTGAAGTTTTTATTCTGGAACAGTTTAAAGAAATAAATGGTGATCAACAAAGTTTTTTGGAAGTGACTATGTCTTTTTATTTTATAAAAATACGGAATAAATGTTAACTGTCCAAAAGTAGCTGATTAATTTAACTTAGCAATTTATCCAAAATCTGTGCAAGCTTTGAAAGTAATTCTGTATATTAAGATGCATTTAACCTTGAAATTAAAACTCATGCAACCAGCCTTTAATAATTAATAAATATTTAGGAACTAAAAAATCAAAACTTTTTAATATTACAAAAAGACATTACCTCCATTCTCCTTTAGTTTCTTTGCATAAATTTTTAATTGTTTTTTTAGTTTTTTAATATTTTCTGAAAGATTGTCAATTTTTTCTCTGAGATCCTAATAAAATATTAGAAAGGTTGATAATTTTTAATATGCAACATATATATTTTGTAATTACTTTTAAATCAATCATATTGAGACTATACAGATGAAATTATTTCAAAACTTACCACATTTTCACTTGTTAATCTATTTATTTCATGTTGAAGAATTGCTTCAGTTTGAGCTTGGGGAGTTTTCTTTAAATTCTATTAATAAAAAAATAAATTATAAATAAAATAAATTGTTTTATTTATAATCAACTCAATAAAATTCAATTCTGTGATTTGCCAAGTGTCTGTATGAATACGATAAATAATTTGTGTTTGAATTGAAATAAATTACTGACACGGTTTCAAAAATACCAGAATATAAATAAAACAATTAAACAGTTTATATATATAAATTGAAATTATTTTTATATTATTTTTATTTTACATTATATTATAATTTATTATAAATATATTATAAAAATAAGGAAATACAATTTTCAATAAACAATTATTTTTAGACACTTGAGTACATAAAACAAATAAATCAATGAATTATGATTTCTTAAGTATTATTAAATTCAAATTTTATAATAATTTGAAATTTATCTAGAATTTTCTTGAATAGTTTGTCATTATGTTGAACACAGTAAAAGAATATGGACACAGTCTTAGACTCTTACAGTTCTTTCAGAAAATGAGTATAATCCTTATATAAAAAAAATTATGGATTGTTTAGATTAACTCAGTTAAAAATTTATCCATAGATAAATTTTTTATACTTGCAAAGTTTTGAATCAACCTCCTTAAACTTTCATATACTACTAAGAAGTTGTTTCCAACTCCATTGGGAAACCCTGTGTTAGAAGATTACCACCTGTAGTAGTAACATCATTTATTCTTTGTAGATAAAGTTGATTCACTCTAATATTTAACAATATTTAATTTAAATATTGTTAAATGCTAAATGTAAAATATTTAATTTTGTTATCTAAAAATTCAAACACCAACTTCAATTTCCTTATAAAATCAACTAGTGGTTTACTTTAATTGAACCTTTTAATAAAATTAAGTATTCAAATTTTATATCCCTGATATAAAATTTAAAATATAAAATATAAATGAGGTTAAAATGAACAATTTTTAAACATTAAAACTACAACCATAATATTATTCTTTTGATGATGAACAGCTATTTAATCTATTCTGTAAAATCAATAGAATTGAAGATTCAAATTCCCTCATTAAGTTCTAGTAATGAGTATAACCAAGTTTAAAATATGAAAACTCAATATCAATCATTTTCTATTATAAAACTAACTATAAAATATAACTGTTAAAGTTTTATTAAATATAAACATTCAATCCAATAACCCAAATTTTAATTAAAGCCAAACAATCTACCAGATTATCAGGCTATATTAAGGCTAATTTTAACAATTAAGAATAAAGTAATTTGACTATAGATAGACGATTATTAAATTTATTGAGAGATAATAGCCTAATTAAAAATTAACTTATTTATAATTATTAAATTTATCAAGAGATGGTGGCCTACCTGCCTATCTCTAGTCAAATTACTTATATTTAATTACTAAAATTAGCCTTAATATAGCCTGTTAAATTGGCTTTATTTAAAATTTTATTTTTTAAAACACACACAACAAAACAAATTTTGTTAAAAATATTTATAATAAACTACATTAAAATGTAAATAAATAAAATTACAGGTAACCCCTGTATAACACGGCACTTCTACAGCATGAATTCGTTCTAACACGGTTCGAGAATTGGTACCATCCCCCGTATAACATGGTACTTTTATAGCACGGATTCACTCTGACAAGGTTCGAGAATTGGGTAAAACCCTCGTACAACAGGAAATGTAATAAATTTTTACATACTTAAGTAATAATAGTTCACGAAAATTATTATTTTCGTGAACTATTAGTACTTAAGTATGTAAATTTTCTCTTCTCGCCTTCTGTCGATACACGTGGTCCTTCTCGAAACTTGTTTCAATGTTGCCAGATCGCGACGCTTCTGCTTCTGATGTTGCCGAATGTTTTTCCCTTATTCCATACTTGCTTTATTCTTCATAAGTGCTTAGCACCATATAAGGAAATTTATAAAGACCTTTTAACTAGAAGCAAGCAATCTAAAATTACATACATTTTGCAAAAGGTAAAGCATGGATCTGAAGATAATGCAGAAAAATGCTCAGAGGATAAGGATAACTTGCCAAAAAGAAAACGCTCTCGGTTAATTAATAGTGTTTTTAGTGATGACGAAGAAAACATTGTTTAATTTATATTAATATGTATCACTTAAAAAATTTTAATGAAGATATTTATCTTAATTATGAAAATATACTAGCATGTTTTTTTAATTTTTGGAACCTAATCCTCCTTTTCGTATTAGTTCTTTGTTTCGTATAACACGGATTCGCATAATACGGCAATTTTTTGGAACGTAACTACCGTGTTATACGGGGGTTACCTGTACTTAATTACAAACTATATATCTATTTATATATACATAGATTATATATTCTATAATAATCTATATATGAAACCTGCAATGCCATAATGTCATAAATGCCAAAAAAAAACTTTTCAGGAGAGGTAAAAAAAAGCATCTTTTCTAATGAATGAATTAATTTCAATTTTACAATAAAATGGTAAAAAACTCATTGGGTTACAAATTCTCTGGAATATCAAAATGATACAAATATAAGCTGCAACATTTTACATGCCAAAAGTCAAGTGACTTGCACTCTGGCACTTTAAATGTTACATTTTCACATAAATTCATCTTCAAAATACAGCCACTTACACTGCCAGTATCACCACAATATTCTTTTGTGGCAGAAAACATTGCATTTAGAATTCAATTCTTCAAATAAAATGTATTTAGAAAACAATGGTATTTACAATATGGCATAGCACGCTTCATATATATCTATATAAATTATCTATATATATATATATTTATATATACCTACTTGACTAAGTAGTTTTTGTTGTCTTTCATTATCTTCTCTTAATTTTTTAATTTCATGCCTTAGTTCATTTTCTGATGTAATAGCTTTTGATTTTTCATCTTGTAATTCAGATTCTAATTGCCTAAAAATGTATAGAATTAGCTAAAATTTTATAAAATTACTATAACTTTATAATCTTAACTTAAAATCAATCATCTATGTATTACTGAATCACTTAATACAGTAAAAAAGTAAATTTTTAAAAACTTTAAATATTTCATGAAGTTATTAACAAAAAATTATTATACCATATCAATTTCTTTTGTGTTTCAAAAGCCATAAGCAATTCTCCATCTTCATTAATCAGATCAACATTTTCTCCATAAAAACCTTGAGCAACTGATTTTAAATCCAAACTTCGACTTGCAAGAACAGATCGTAATTGAATACATTCGTCCCTTCGCCTTTCTAACTCATCTTGAAGACTATCAAATTGATCTACAAATATTTATCTCAACATTAATAATTATTAATTAAGTTCAATAATATAAATTATATAACTAAGTATAATTAAGAATAGTATAGTTATAATAATTATTTAAGTTTTAAATATTATCACTAGAAGAAGTAAATTTATAATTTTGGACATTTAAAAAATTTTTTGACATTAATTCAATAAATAAAAGAAACATTATTTAAAATTATATTATTTTTTTTCATACTATACACAAACGTTTTAAAATGAGAAAAATTTAGGAATGTTATATTATGACCTATTTGTGTAATATAGTATATCCTTTTGAATTTATCATCATTGAAAAACACACAAAAAACTTGATTTGTATTACTAGAATTAGTCAAGTCTTTTCACGTTTATCAAAACATTATCAGTCATTAGAAAAAATAAAATATATAACACCAAAGAATATATATTATTAGATATAAACTTAAGAACATATTTACAGATAGTCTGAACAATTTTCAATATATAAATATAAAATAAGATTTTTTCAAAAATAATGAATTAATATAGCTGTAACAATTAAGAATTTAAATGCAACAAACTCTTGAAAGAACAGTAATTGAAACCTGATGCAACACTCAAAATTTTGCTATCTCAAAAGTTTTCATTAAATAATAAATATTATCAAAAATGAGTAAGCTAAAGCTAAAGCTTTTTAAATGTTCTTTGTCTTTAAAAAAGATGTATATATCACAAAAGAATTTTTGAAATATTTTCAATAAAACCGTGAAATAGAAATGTATAAAACTATGTTTATTAGGAAGAGACTTCCTGATAAACATACAGTGAAAGCCTTTATATCACATTTTTATTGGTTTTAAGGGTTTTATGTTTTTACTACCTTTATTAGTCAATTTTTTATACATTTTAACCAAACTCATTTTACTTCTACAGTTTTACTTGTTCTTCCCCACTGTTTTAATAATTAGTTATTCCAATTGCTGCTATAATTATTAGTTTTATCAATTTAAATAATAAAATAAGAACTGAAGAGAGGCATAGAGCTGAAATACATATCCATTATTAATCATAAAAAATAAATCTAATTTTTCCATCAAAAGGAGTGTTCCTGTATGATTTGTTCTCAGTAGCAACTTTATGCTAGTTCCAAAGAAACATAAAACTAATTGAGAGAACAGCAAGCAATCTAGTAATATTTTACATTTTTATTAAACTTAAAATAAGAAATTAACTAAGCTTATTATATTTTATATAATATAAATATATAAATAAAAACCTAATAATTCTCTTGTTTGATTTGAATTATCATTTGATGTCAGAAATCTTCTTAAATTATTTAAGTCTTCCTTCATTTTGGCATTTTCTATTTCCAATTCTTGCAACTGAAATATAATTTTCAAAAATAAAAAATTCTGTATTACATAAATGGTAAAATACACACACATATATTTTGTATTACAGGGTTTTAATAAATTTAAAATTATATATACTATGAAATATAAACTTATATATTTAAATTTATTTATTTACTTTACAAATTACGCATTTAATTATCTGCCAATGTTTCTGGTATATGAAATTATTTAATGAAAATTAGTGGAAATGATAAAATTATATTTAGTATTATATTGCTAACAATTTATCTACGAATATACTAATTTAATATGAGTAATTTTCATTTGCTAATTTAAAAATTATATAGTAGTATTTTTTTTACTTTTAAATTGAAAATATTAAAATATTCAGAATATCAAACATTTGTTTACAGAAATTGGTAAAAAAGACAAAACAGCATGAGAAAAACTAATAAAATCATAAAGCTAAGATGCAAATAGAAATTTATGACGGGGGGAAAAAATCAGACTATTTTAAAAATAAATTTTTTTAAGTGATAATAATAATAATAATCTTCCAAAACACTATGCAGCACTGGAGAACATCACTGCATCTCAGGGTTAGTAACACTTTCATACAAACAAACCAAATATTCATTAGGCGAGGAATTTTTCAAGGAGATTCCTTGAGTCCTCTCTGGTTCTGCCTAGCCCTGAACCCATTATCCAACATGTTAAACAACAAGCAATATGGCTACAATATCAGACATGAAAAAACAACACAGTTTACGCTGTCACATCTCATGTACATGGACGACATAAAACTTTATGCATCCACACAAAAACAACTTCATCAACTCCTACAAATCACACACTCATACATTAAGGACATACAAATGGAGTTTGGCTTAGACAAATGCAAAACACTTCACATAAAAAAAGGAATCCCGAAGAAACAAGATTTTGCACTTGGAAATGGAGATGTTATTGAATCCATAAAAGAGGGAGAGTTCTACAAGTATTTAGGATTCCAACAGGCCAAACTAACAGAACATACACAAATAAAGCAAAGATTAATTAAAGAATACCAAATTAGGTTAAATGGTATTCTCAAAACACAGTTAAATGCAAAACACACAGTTAAAGCAATAAACACATGTCATCCCAGTACTCACATATTCTTTTGGAGTTATACATTGGACTCACACAGATCTTGAGCAACTCCAAAGGAAAACACGAACAACGCTTACTAAGCATAAACAACATCATCCTAAATCCGCTACAGAAAGATTAACCCTTCCACGTAAAGGTGGTGGATGTGGCCTGATTGACATAGTTAACCTTCACTACAAACAAATACAGTCACTGCAAGAGTTTTTCTACAGGAAACAAGAAACATCACAATTACATAAAGCAGTAACTCTAGCAGACTCAAATAACACACCACTAAACTTACACTCACAACATACAGACATGACACAACACACAAAAAGTATAGACACCATCAAGCAATCGTGGGCTCGAAAGGCACTCCATGGCAGGCATTTTTATGACCTGGCCCAGGTCATAAAAAACATATGACCTGACAAAACTGCGTCAAACAGCTGGTTAGATCGGGGATGCCTCTTTGGGGAGACAGAAGGATTCATGATTGCCATACAGGATCAGTCATAAATACTAAAAACTACAGAAAACACATTCTCAAAGATATAACACTCACAAATGACACATGCAGAAAATGTCACATCATGCCAGAAACTATACAACACATCACTTCTGGATGCAAGCTCTTGGCACAGACAGATTATTTACACAGACATAATCAAGTAGTAAATATAATACACCAAGAGCTTGCAAACAAACACAAATTGGTAGGCATTCACAAACCATACTACAAGTATATTCCACAGACAGTATTGGAAAACAACATGCACAAAATGTACTACGACAGAGCCATAATCACAGATAAAACAATTTACCACAACAGACCAGACATCACACTCATTGACAAACACAATAAAATCACATACATTATAGACATAGCCATTCCAAACACTCACAATGTACAAAACACATGCACTGAAAAAATTAGCAAGTACACAGAACTCGCCCAGGAAATAAGGCATCTGTGGAGGATGGATAGGGTGCTTATTGTACCTGTTGTTCTCTCCTGTACAGGTGTGATACCACACACACTACACAAAAGCCTGGGAACATTACAATTGAATAGAAATACATACATCACACTACAGAAGGCCACTATATTGAATACATGCCACATTGTTAGGAAATTCCTGAATACAGACACACACACTGACACACTTATTTAATTTTAGTTTTGTTTTGGTTGCTATGCCTTGACTTTGGTCTGGCATAGTACACAGCCACCGGTGTGAACCGAGTATAACTCACAAAACCCAACATAATAATAATAATATATATATACATTAAAGCATTCATTATAAGAAAAACGTTAGAAAACTAAAAGTGATTATTTAAACAGGGTTATTAATAAAAAATGGAAATGTTCAAAAGGCAATCTATAAAAACTGAAAGCAGCATAACTATTAATATAAATAGCAGTATTCTACAAAATACAATAAAAATAAAGTATAAGGATTGATCAAATAAAACCCATTTGTACTGTGTCATGTGGTCCAGCACAAGAAGAGGGAAATAATGTCATGATATGATAAGCACGATGACACGTGGCATGATAAGCATACACCAATGAATAAGCAGGAAAAAGTTCAGTCATCTTGCATGTTTTGCTTTTGGTGCAGAGTACTGAAAACATAACCAAAGTTATTCAGAATCTGTTCAAAGTGAAAACATGATGACACCACTTTGAGCCAAAAATAAGCAAACATTCAATGGAAACACTTTGGCTCACCAACACACAAAAAATTCAAGTCACAGGCTTATGCTTGTGTGAACCGCAAGGGAGGTCGGGTACCGTCGACTCTCCCTTTTCGGCTACAGGTCGTTAAACCTACTCACTTGTCAAGATGGCTAAATTTCGAATGCGGTCCCGAAGGGTCGGGATTCTTTTTGTTAGGTCACGTAGAGGAAGTGAGAGGGGTCGTCGACGAGGCATAGGTGATATGCGAGTAAATGACACCATTTAACAATGGAAACAACGATTTATTAGATTAACAAAAAAAAAAAAACGATTACAAAATCTAATGTCTGGAAAAATGAATTTAGTTCGCTAGCTCCTAACTTGTGAAGAGAGAGTTTAGATTTAATGCTCCATACCTCTAGTATATTTTAACGTAGATGTTAGGTTTATGCTCTTATTCTTCCGATTGACGCACAAAGTTAAAATCCTCCGAGACTTAATCCTTTTTGACCAGCCGTAGATGAGAGACTCCCCTGAAAAGGGGGAAAGAAGTTGCTTTTATAGCTTCGGGCTGGGGAATTAGTCATGTGATCCCCTATTGTGAGAGGTAGAGTTGGTCCTGCAGGTGTGGAGGTTAAAGTTGTTCCCAGGACCAAAACAAAATGACGAATTCGGACTTCAACAATAAACTTTTTGTCTTGCAGCAGAAGAATGTCATTGTTCGAGGGTTGAATGTTTATATTAACGATGAAAGTTATAAGTTTCTATCGATATTTGATTCTTTTTTCCAACAATGTTATTTTAACGAGGAAGCGACAAATTTATTTCACATACGTCGAAAATTTAGGGGAAAAATGAAAAATTTTGGCCTTACTCTGAGGTCGGATCTCACATTCGTAAGGTCATGAAGACTGCATTTTTTGACATTGCAGGGCCTTTGCTGGTGGACTTTAAAGACCTTCACATGAGCATCAATGCCAACTGCTACAATACAACATTGGACAAGCTGCATAAAGTCAAAGAATGAGCAACCAGACATGCTATCACATGATATGATTTTGTTGCATTACAATGCTCGACTGCATGTTGCGAACGCTGTGCAAATGGTTTAGCATGAAAATGTTGAGAAGTTCTGCACTATCCATCTTATGGCCCCGATTTATCATCATATGACTTTCATTTGTTCGAACTATTAAAAAACACTCTTAAGGGACAACACTTTATCTGATATGAAAGTCAAGGAAGAAGTCATCCAATGATTCAAGGACCAACCAACACCATTCTTCACAGATGTATCCATCATCTCCCCAAGCAGTGGGATGCATATCTAAATGCCTACAGTAACTTTTTTTTAACAAACAAAAGTGAAATCTGGCTTCCTCATATATTGCTTTGTTTAATTATACCATATCAATGAATATACTGTTTCATTTGTTTTAATAAATTTACTTGAATGGATTTCATTTGATCAATCCTTGTACAGTTACTAAATTACTGACTAGAAGGGTGGCAATACATACACTTCTAAAAAGTTTTAAAAAATTAATAAATCTAGGAAAAAATGCCAATATTATTTACAAAAAAATAAAAACTGACAATTAAAAAAATAAATGAAAATTTATTTTTGACTGGCTTTTATTTGTTTAGAAATTAACTTTTAATATAAAAAAAATTGTATTTTATTTTAACATTTAAAAATGCTTTTAATTTAAAGATTTTTTGTTCAGAAAAAAGTTGTTTTAAAGTGCCACATCATCTATTTGTAAGATGTATTTTTAGTCAGTATCCACAAGTTTCCAGAGAAGGTTCATGTATTTTCCATACTGTAGCACTACTGTCACACTGCCATTAAAATACTGTAAGAACTACTAAACTGCAGAACAATAGAATTGAGAATACAGTAGAACCCCCCTATAACACGGGTTCCTATAATTACGATTCCTATAAGACAGCGAAAAAATTGCGATGGTAAAAAAAACTCCTATAATTCTGTAAAACGTCATCAGGCAGCCGAACTACTTTCCGCCGTCCAGCACCACACTACAAAGAATTTAGGCAGGTAAATTGAGTTTACTATCGTCTGTACAGTATTATATATAAATCAGGTACTGTACATATAATTATATATTAATTATATATAAATTAGGTACTGTATATATAATTATATATNGTCGAATCTGGACCAATAGTGGATGGGCAGCTGATA